TAAATGTATTTTTCGCTCGTTACATTTTTACAGCCCTTACTACAACATAAGTTATGGGCGTAACTCAAACAGGATAATATTGACTAAAGAACAAAAATTACTGAACGGAGAAAAGTCACGAAGTGGGAGACTATCTAGTACTTAGTGATTATAAAGTGCGACAAATTTTATTTCCTTTAAATTTTAGCCAAACAACACAAAATATTAAGTAATAGCCAAAGTAAAAAGTACGACGTTTTTCTCTGCGAGTGTAAATAATATATTGTATTTTTTTCACTAGATTAGTGTATTATTTTTAAATACTGACGGATTTGACAAATTTTTCCCATTAAAAAATGCTCATATTTCATTTTAAATGTATGGCGATTGTGAACATTTTATCAGGTAAATGATCGAAATATTGTAATTTTTGCCAAGATTTATGTATAATATAACATGGACCGTAACAATTACTCATTCTGACATAGTGAAATATGCACGAATTCTTTTTTTTTTTTTCATTCTTTACCCGTGAAATAAGGCGTATATTATTATTATAATTTTGTTAGCCTCCGGTCATTATAAACCGTTTCATTTATTATGTTACATAAGATACAACAACTTATATCTCATACATGTCGTTCACAAGTCATCGACTAAAATATAATATTTTACTTTGCAGAATTGAATTCGAATATTTTATGTACTAATAAATTAAAGGTATAAAATAAAAACTTGATGAAATGTTTTTCGCATTTAAAAATAATAAATAACAATATTTAACAAAATATAATATATTTTATTCTTTTAATTTGTTCTAAATGATTTTCTCGAACATTTTTTTTAAAGTAACGTATGTTATTTTTTTCGTGGATCCTTTAACTTTTCAAGTACTGACATCGATAAACAGCTAAAAACAGTCCATTTGTTCAAAGCTCACGAAAAATGACATTTTCAAAGTCAACAAAATGTAACGTTTGCTAATTCAAAGAAGTTATCGATTTGGTCGAGGTTTTTTAATTATAAAAATTATAAAAAAAATATTTGTATAACTTTATATATAAACGTATATATATATAAGTATTTAAAAACTTAAAAATACAAATTGAAATCACTACAATATACAACGCCGACTATTTTTAACAAATAACGAATTACTTTTAAAAAACATTTAAAGTACGTATTACCCACGTAACATAATCTATTTAATTCATGAAAAATTAAAAGTAAATATAAAAGTATATTTGTTATTTCCAAATGTATTTATTTACAAGTCAAGATATGATGGTTCTCTTTCTACCACTGATAAATATAAAGCTGATTTGCTAGCAACAAAACTATCAGATGTATTTATAAACTGCAGTCTATACTTGATAAGCTAACCTACTTGAAATAGTTTTAGACGTTATACAGTTCCCTATTTACCATTCTTGTCACTTGCTGCTAAACATTCTTCGCCAGATTAAGTAGTAAATTACTAAAAAAATATACTAAAAAAGAGAATGACTTAATAACCGACAAAAAAATTTAACATTTTCTAAGAAAACCAAACGCCTTTCTACCAACTCCTTTTTAAAAAACTTTTTTCGTTTGCTGTAAATTATGTTCATTGGTTGATTTTCATTCATATAAAATTATGTATAAATTATTACCGTCGGCGAAAGTTAGATTTTACAAGCTACAACAAATTATTGTTATAAATTATAATAAATGGGCCATTAAGTCAAAAGGGTCAAACCATACACACAAACGTCGTGTAAAAAGCTGTTAGCTTGGGTCCATTAGTCTAAAAAGGTAGTAGCGCTCAGGGAACATAAAGGCGTTATGTATTTTGTAATGCTAGTAGCTTTGTGTTGGCAGTCGTTCGCAGTGGTTGGTCTTGACCAGCCGATGTTTGTTATGATTGTAAAACTTTTGATTAAAAGCAAAGCGGCCAATACACTGCCAATGCCAGCGTGTGCATTCATGTCACTTTCAGGTTTAATTACCTCTCCGGGCTTTCAGGCCTCAGTTTAAGAAGTTTCAACATAAATAATACTCTTACATAAGAAATATTATAAATAAGTAAATAGCTCCAGTTTCCCTATACCTAATATAAACATTTTTTTAAAAATCTATTAACATTTAGTAGTTGTTTTCAAATTAGATGCAAATTATTTCACTAGTGTAAATGTTGAATATAATTAATTTCAAACATTTAAATGTTTAAAGTAGCACGAAACAAAATTAATTTTAACATTCTCTATCTTCTTATTTTATTTATTCGTATTGGTATCTTCTAAAAACACCCTTTGTCTAAAAAAAGCTATTCTATAAAGATATTTTGTTTTTTATTCTGTTACTTTTAATTGAAATTTAACTTTTCCAGATTTTATTGAGTACTATGCTATTATTTATACAGTGATGTACATCAGGGATTCATCTGGGACGGATCTCCTTCTAATGTATGCCAATGTATTCATACATAAAGTACAGCTACACATATGTACTAATCTTATCAAGTATCAGAACGTAAACAGTTTATATTTAATGTTAGTACTCTATCATGACGGTAAACCTCACGCTTTTTATAAACACTAACCGTTATCCGATACCGAGTGCTGCGCATGCGCATTACGATAAAATATTTACCATAATATTACATTTTATGTTGTGCAAGAACTCCATAATTTCTTGTTGAGGTTATGAATTATATATATATATATATATATGTGCCATGTGTTATGATTACCAACCAATCATACAATTTCAACAATTTATATACATGTATTGCCGTACAGTTGGCGGTTATCCCTGACGAGGGTCTTAACCGAATTATGGCGGACAAGATACAGGGGATGCGAAAACAAACCCGTGACTCCCCTAATCCGGTTGTAGCTCCAACGACTCGTCAATCATATAATATTATGCACCGTCCATGGCAGAGATTGAAAACAACTACACGGCGAAGGAACAATCAAAAATCATTTGTGATTCAGAACGTATTTTTCAACAAAATATTTGTTCATCCTTTGGATTTAAACGAAACGTTTATTTGAGTGTAGTACATCACTGGTATACGATTGAAAACGTTTATCGCCTAAACGTGGACATTACTGTAATAATATTGTAATTTATTGTAGTGCGTTTTTTATTTTATGACGCATTATAAGACTACAACCAATCGAACCAAACAGTTGGCCGAATTAATAATAAAATACAACGACGCGGATACCTAGGGATCAGCAGCGATATGCATAAATTTACATTATTTATGATTTCCATTTTAATTTATGTTTTCTTTCATTAAAATACCAACCTCGTGTAATATCGTTATTAATTTTAATTGGATTAAGCTACAATATAATATCGGCCCCGGTGAGTGCGTACTTGTCCATAAATCACACGACTACTTATGGTTGACATCAATAGAATATTATAGAATAAAACCATAAAATGTCGACGAAATTCAATGCGATGCATTATTCTATCGTATCAATCACTACTAATAAGAATCCGAGGACTAGATGACTAACCCGCTAAGGCTGGGACAACATAACAACGCGATCCGTCAAATATGTTGGCTACTTTTACATCTTATTACTCTTAGTAGTCGACATTAATCAATCAAAACTGATTTGAAATTCATTAAGACATTTTTTTTAAAAATCCATTTATAATTAATTGAAGCATACAATCAGGCTTTTTTTTTAGACACAGTGCAGTAATTTATTTTGATTTTTATACATTTATATCATCAATAATAAATAACATTTTTAAAAAATTCTGATAAAAAACTCTTAGGTTAATATATTATAGATGTAAATAACTTTGTTCAAGTCACGTCCGTGCTGTTGTCCCGTGTCAAATTAAATCGGGAAATCCGGTAGTTTCGAAGTTTCTCTGATAAAAGAATAGAACCACTTCAACCCTTAAATAAAACATTCATGTTGTGTATATGTACTTGAGTACCTACACAAGATATCCATTTAACAAACAAAAATACTCATTTTCAAGACCAACATATATATATATATATATATTCTAAAAAACATTATTTATAGATAAAAAAGTTTATTTATCTTTTGTTCCTGTAATGTTGAAATTAAATTGAATAATATGTCAGATAAAATAATTCTATGCTTAACATAAATTATTATTTTTGGAGCATAAAGGTGGGATCCGTAATATTTATTACTCATTATAAACCATAATATTTTCTTTGTCTACACCTGTAAAAGACAGCAGGAAAAGCGGACAAGCCATTTAGATTAAAGCAGAAGTGACCCTTTTATGTTGTACGGAAAATGACCCACGGACAAAGCAGACACTAGGGAAACTTTCGAGAAAACTTATATAAGTTGTGTGTTAATTTTTCCATTAACAAATACACAACATATTCATTAAATATAAATTAATTCAGAAATTTGCTTCCGTGTAAACTATAAAGAAGTTATATTATATTTTAGTCAAAATATAATATACTACCTTTACTGACTATAACAACCTATACTACCTGAGAAAATAGTGTCGTATTATCGTTAAAAACATAGGTCTATAATATATTATAATAGATCAATTTTATTGAGTGATAGTAAAATACAGCATGTCTACGTTTAATAGTTAAAAAATGTAGTTAGATTTTTTTACCCGGAAAAAAATTAAAATCACTAGATTATCAATTCTTTTGTTGCAAATCAATGCCAATAAGCGTAACAACTAAAGATGATTGTAAAACAAGATGAATGAAAAAGCAATACGTTTAAAAAAAGTATGATTTCACCCCGATGAATGATGTTCTATTAGGCCATTGTTATTGCAAATCACTTATTAAAAAGATATTTTATATTTATCTGGTTTTATATTTTATTCCATCAGATGACATTTTCATAACATTACTATTCAATTACTATAATAAATAATAATAATACATTACTGAACATTAATTACAGTATTATACATGCGTGTATATTTTTGTTGTAATATAAGATATATCGTTTTTCATAAATATTTAGTTATTTTATTGTTTGTGTGTGTTCCAGAATATTTCTGTTTTGGTGGTGCTAATATACAGTTGGATGATAAGCACAAATCTGAAAAACGCAGCTCAACTTCAAGATGTATTTTATGGTAATTATTACTATGAATGTATTAATATACCTACTATATTATTTTATAGTTAGTACAAAATGACAATAACATACATTATACATAGCTTTTGTCTAGCTTGTTGGGTTAAAATATCACCAACATGGTGTTTATTCATTGAAAAAATCGTACAAGTTAAAAAAAAATACTTTTAAGCTTATACAAATTAAACTCTAAATAAATTAACATGGTCGAAATTTATTAAAACCCCTATTTTCTTAAATATTACCTATATAAAACTCCTTAAAACCTGTCCGCCTTTAATTCCCTTAACGTCAACAACAAAGTTAGGTACAACTTTTTGACATGATTGAAATGAAGTAACTTTTAGTCATTTTACCTCTTTATACCACTACATTATAATTAAAACTTTTCAAGGGTAATTCTGGAATTAAACAAAAATGAGCTTGTAGAACATAATATAAAATTCGTCTTGTTTAAAAAGGTAATTATTCAGTCTTGAATACATTTTATTCTATTAAATCAATAAGGTCATTTATTTGATCTATTGATATTGCATATCTTTCTTCAATTCAATCATCGACAATGAGTGTTACATACACAAACTGTTTAACGTTATTTGACTAATTAGTCGACATGATGTGTTTAAGATATAATACAGTTCGTTGTGCATTAAGTATAAACACATGTTGCAAAAATCGGTAGAAAATCTAGAGTAAAATTTAATCAGGAAATTGAAACTATAAGTATGGGTAACCCTAAGTGTAAAACTTAGAATAACAAACAAATCCTTATCGACGAGTACAAATGTAACATCATAAATAAACTTTTTTGCTATCTGCTATAATATGTTTTAAAAATGAGTCTTACACACTTAACACCTGGGAAACGCAAACTATTTTCATCCTTAACAATTAATCACGTGGTCGGGCCTGGGCTTGAAAATACGTTGTTAAAAGTTAATTTATTCCACCGTAGTTTTATTAATTTTTACATGTATGAATTATATTTTTTTGTTTCAATATGGATACGGATATGAATAATGATAGTGAGTTTTCGATTATACACACATAAATAATATAATATATTTATATTTATTATAAATATTACATACATATATACACTGTAGTTACCATACGATATACCGATTTACTCACAACACATATTGTTTAAATATTCCTGATAGAGCGGTCGAACACTCAATTAGTATACCAGTAATAATTATTCGATTCGATTAATCAACATAACCGCATTTGTGTGTAACATCACCCATTGTCTATCGGTGTTTATGAGACGGGAAATACGAAGACGGATGAATGGGGTATAATATATATTATTGATTGTGATGTTGTCTCGAAGGAACACGGGGTAGACGTCCTTAGATTTGTTACCAAAATGTATTCATCCGGATACATCGACGGTGTAACAACCAACAAAGATAATTATTGGTTTTATTTGCTACTATATTATATTGTGTGATTTTACAAAACTTGACAACCCGTTTTTTTTTTATTCTCATCACATTTCACTCAACTCAAAATAACTAAAACTGGTCAGATTCATATTGCGGGCACGGTAATTATAAAACTCTTAAAATAATATTTATAACTCATATTAATATTAATACAACTATACCGAGTCTCTTAATAGCCCCAAAAGGGTTTCCTGTACACTGCCCTCCTAAACAAAAAAGCCGTAACTCGAAAAAAAATTTTTTTTTGAAAACCCGTTTAAACAAAGTAAAATGGTTTCTTACTTGGTTTAATCGGTTTTTTAACAAAAAACATTTTTTTTTTAATTACGGCATTTTTGCTTAGGAGGGCAGTACAATAATTTATAAAGATCTACCGTCTTCGACAAACTTTAATTTCAAAAAGTTACACGACAAGCGCATGTCATATATTATTGTCAATTTCATAATTAATCTAATCATCTACCACTATAAAATGTATTTTTTTTTTTTTTTAATGTATTGCTAAAATACAATAATTTTACTGATGTCAGTCGTACATGTTCGATTTTAATGGTATTTTTATTTTTTTGACTCAAGCTATTAACTGTATTACAAGTATAATACAATAGTAATTAAAGAAGGTAACTCGAATCAGAAAATTTGAATACATTTCCAAATATCCACAAAATCGCGCTCTTAACTACGTCAGTTAAAAAAAGAATCATTCCATATATATATATACATTTATTTTAATTAGATGCCTACTCGTGTACTATAAAATGTGTAAAGTAAATCATGACATACTATACAATTAGCAGTCTTGTAGTTGTGACACAAATCTTACACATAATATATATTTTATAATTCCGTCAGACTTAAACATGGTTCATATTACAAATACCAAACTGCACATCCATATGTATTAACCGTAATAAATTTGTACAGTGGTTTCCTGCTTGTATAATTCGAGGCACACCGTACTCATCAATCAATACGCCCTACTAATTTCACGGGATTTAGGACTGTTGGATACTACAAATGATGTTTCAGCACATAAATCTTATCACGATTAGTCGAATACATACATATAGAAAATTATAAATTAATATGATTAGATTATTTGGCAAACCCATTATAAACATTAACATTTCCTATTATGAGAACGTGTCAATTCTATATATATATATTATTATAAAATATTAAATGATATAGTATTTTTAAAAAAAACATTCGTTTCATATAGTTTATACAATGTTATTCATGTAGTACTCCCGAAAGCTGTACTTAACCTAAGAGACATTTGTTTATTATTATAATTTTTTAAAACGCAGATTTTCCGTTTATTTCATTTGTATTTTTCTTATAATATTTTTTTAAATTATAGGGACTGAAAGTAAATACTTAATTTAAATCATTTTGGCGTTAATAAAATCAAAGTACACATGTAATTAATAATGTTTATTTTTAGTGACGTAGAACTCTTGCATAGTCCTATTTTCAAATAAAATCATACTCACAGCCCGCCAGAAAATCATAGCGTATCCAAATTATTCAGAATCCCTAATACTTGCAGTAATTTTCAAATTGTTACTTGTTAGTATATTTTATACATAGGTTAATTTAACCGTTGTTAGCACACGCCTGGTGGAAGTTAAAATGAGTCTGTCTTCTGTTAAGGGGTAACCGTGAATACAGGGTTCGCTGCAATATGTAAATTCACATATTTAAATAAACCTACTTTATAATAAGTTTAAAAATACTTTAAATAAAATATGTTACTACTGTTATTTGCGGTATGCACATTACTCTAAAAATATAATTATTTTGCTCACAGGTGTTCAAATTGCATATTCAGCCGTAATTGGAACTAATTTGTTCAACTTTGCTGCAAGTGTCGTACTTCTTCTTGGGATCGTTAAAGTAAGTATTACTCATAAATATAATAAGTCATATGACGTGTGATACAATAATATATTGTATGATTAACCACTATCAATGGGTAATAGCAAACATTGTACATATAAATTATTTTGCAATCGTTGCATATTCGTATAACTTTAAAACTCATCTCTTCTTCTGTTTTACAATTTTTCAAAACAAAATCTAAGAGACAACTGAGTAACCGCTATCTATTTTAGTTTAGAGATAATGGTTACCTCATTGAAAGTTGTATGTAAACCACTAATATATTCTGATGACAGTATATTGTACAATTTAAAGAATATGTATGAATATCTTATTGTTGGAACAGGATGTTAGACATCAATATAATTATTATGTAAAAAAAGTAAGAATAGTCAATTTAAAGAGTGGGTGAGCTAGAACAAACAAGACAAATTGGTGAATGTTGTAAATGATGATAAAGTAGGGACCGAGATGGGACAGTCGTGACAAATTGAGGGTAAAATTAAGAAAGTACCTAAACCCTTACATGTGTGAAAAAAAAGTGATGAAAATTAATAAACAACTATGAACAAAAGACATATGAATTCGATATTCCTAATGCGTTTTAGAAGGAGTCACGTAAATAATTATAACTTACAGAAATAGTTAAAACCAAATATTTTTCATTGTAATTAACATGGGTTCATTACCCGTAAACTTACTAGTAGTTATTCACTATTAGTGACTTCGAGTGCAACTTCGATATTTAATAAGATCGGTTTAACAGATCAGGGAAGAATGCAATAAGGTATTAACAAAATAATAACTTTGTTGGAAAACGATATAATGGTAGTTAATAAAAGAATAAATTAATTAATTGAAATGATTGGTGTTCCCGAAGGTGAAAACAAAAATTGTGGCAAAATGATAAAGGAAATTTCAAAGACATTGGGGGAATCCACTTCTGTTGAATATGCGTTTAGTATACAATCGAAATCATTCATGCATTGATAATAACTTGTGAAAAATAATATAGAAACCGGTATCATTCAAACAAATATTACCACGATCTCATCAATACCCGTTAAAAATAAAATATTTCAAAGCGAAATTTATAGTCAATTAATTAGTCATTTAATTATATGAAGGTCGTATGTAAATTAAGTTCTGAGTTCTAAGAAATGTATACAGAAAAATAGGACAAATTAAATAACTATTTTTTTTTTGCGCTATAAACATCTCGTTTTTTATTGCTCTTTACTGTATTATTTTTTTAGATTAATTTTTTATTATTATTCAAGATAGTAATTTTCTTAAGAAATATTTGCTGAGAATTTTGACTGGTCGACCACCAACTTTGGATAATTACTTTTAAAGTTATTAAAGGTTAAAATTTAAGACAGGAGGTGGAGTGCAGTAAAGTTATTTTCATCTGAGCGCATCACTTTATACTGCACTCCACCTCCCGTCCTAAACATAAGACTTAAATTACTTTAAAAGTAACTTTACAAAAATTGGTTGTCGACCAGTAAAAATTCTCAGAAAATTATTCTAAATAAAATGTCGCGATACGTTTTAAAATTAAGTATAATACACAATTAATTCAGAAACTACCAAAAAACCAGTCTGTTCTAAATTTAAGCGATTGGAAGAATGGATGACAGCAGTTCTATTATGCGCATCTCGAATAAAACAAGATTTGGCCATAAAAGTTAAAAAGCATCCTAATAATAAAGCGTTCTTATCTTTTCACGTCAAACATAGAAACAATTTTACAAACATTTTACGGTATGCAAAAACTTAATTTTATAAAAATAAATGTTCCTCTAAAGAAACTAACCCCAAATTTACTTAGAAATTAATAAAAAAAGTGACTATAACTTAGGACCCGAGTAAAAATGAAATAAAATCATATAAACTTACATATTATATTCTTATATAACTTTATTGAAGAGTTAAGTATCCTAGTATAAACAAGGATCAAGATATTTATTTTTTATTTGTTTAGAAGACAAAATATTAAAAAGTTTACAAATTCTGTGCGTACTGTGGTTGCATAATAAAAAACCCAATATTTCAATTTAGATTATATTCATTATATATTACATATACTTGTAAATAAAATCAGCTTAAAACTTATTAAAAAAAAAAATAAAAAACAGAATTATCTATACTTCTTCACAGAATAAATACATCAAAAAATACTAAAATACTTTCTGCTAATAGATAATGCTATTTTTTTTTTGTTATCTCTTCATCTAAACAAAAAACATGTTCCAGCCTTGGACTTTTACAGATGGACGTCCTTGACAAAAGTTTAAAAAAATTAAAAAACATTTTTTTTTTTTGTAAAATGTATTATACAAATGAAATAATTTAATAGTCGATAGTTTCTCTTTGGTTAGATTTAACACAATTAATCATTGTACTCTATGTCAGAGTCTCGACACGCCTATGGCGTGACGCATGAAAATATTGCTTGGGCGATTTTTTATTAAAACACAATGCTTACTTTTTTTAAATAAGAAAACTTTACTCAGTTATCAAGCCCAGCTATCAAGTTATCAATGGTAGGCGTATTCAAAAAAGCATTTATTTTTATTTCTATGTAAAACATTACAATGTTAAAACATTTTGTATAAATAAAAATAACGTACATAAAGTAATTTTGTAATATATAAATATACAAATAAATACACAAAAAAAAAATTGAAACAAACATTTTCGATAACGATATGCTCTGGTCAATGGTTGACATGCAAACATTCATCTGGGTCAACTACAATTTTGTTTAATATGAACCAAAAAAGGCATTCTATTGTTCGAACAAAGATAGTATTTTAAACAACATTTTTTAGAAATATTGAGTTTAAAAAATATTAATTTTTACAAGATACTTAATATATATATATAACACATTTGTGTATTAAATAATTGATTTGTATAAACAATTTCAACTACGGTGTTTTATATAAAAGTGCAAATAAATTCCTTCATGACTTGATATATTCCCAATTTTCTAGCGTAAAGACATGACTACCTACGCAGAATACGTTTTACAAAATTCATGCCGGTTTAAAGAAAAAACACCTATTATAAACCGAAATTTAAATACAACGATGTAATACGGATAGAAAATAATACGCAAACAAAAGTAATAGCTCAAAGATCAAAAAAGTGTTTTTTTTACGTTAAAAAACTAACTAAAATATGAGTAAAAGATTCATATTGATAGGAAACCGGAAATTATCTTCATTGTGTTTTCTTTTAATTTCATAATAAGTATTTTTATTCTAAAACCATCGTTGGCCGAGTAAGAAGCACACTGCGTAGGGGTTAGGAAATTGTACTAATAAAATATACACTTAAATTTTAAATTTGATATACCAAACTCCGTAATAAATATGGTTCATTACACGGTAAGAATAAAATAGTATGAACAACTTTATTTAAGACTAACAACACTGAGAGAATGATAAAATTGCACGTTCAGTACGTTATAAATAAATATATTACAATACAATATGATTTATTGACCAACTTACTTTTCAGTTTTGATTTGTTACAACGAGACGTCATTTACACTGTAATAATAACTCAACGTCTAGATAATAATATAGCCTAGTAGGAAGGTACGGACTATAAACATGTGACGGCCGAGGAAACTTAGATAACAATGATCTATACAATATTGTTCTCTCGTCAACAAAGTTTTAAGCAAAACAGTGACAAATACTATGATGAGAACGGGTAAAATAATAGCAGTGGTCTATAACGTTTCATTAATCATGAACTATGACACGATATGTTAGTTCCTACTTTGTCCCTTTTTCTTTATTGCCACCCTTCCCTATATATAGACATAGTAATGTCTAATCGACAATTTTGATATAAATATTTTAATTCTACTGCTAACATGGATAAATACAATTATTATACAAAGCCTACGCTTTCTAACACTTATGATTGCTGATTCTGAACAGCTTAGAACGTACTATTAAGATCAACTTGACTTTCTCTGCGCCAGATCTAACAAAATAGCTACAAAACTCCCTGCCAAACTTCTAAGATTCGTCTTTAGCATAATCGAACTTATTGATCATGACTGGAAAACGAAATACATTAAATGGTATACGCTAATTTTCCATTAGACTTGATGGATAATGTCACTTCGGAGTGACAAGTCTAAGGATTATGTGTAAAATCATCTTAGTTTATCTATTGCTTCTTAGTACTATTAAATGTAATGAAAATACTTATTAATTGATGTTAACTTACTGCATGTATATAATAACTCAAATCTAACTTAAAATTATTACTTTTTTGTTAAATAATTAATGTTTCCATTATTTTGCCCATTTCTTGTGTCATTATATATTAAATATACGATAACGCAGGAACAACATGTTAAACATTTTTTTTTTAAATCTCTGTATTTTTAAAGTAAAAGGATAAATACAAATTATTACATTAACCGATCTACTCGAAAAAACTGAAATAAATATTTTAAACATTTATATCGAAATTATGGATTTTGTATAGTTTACATGGGGGCAAAAATATTCAACTTGGTAATTTGTATAGCTAATAATCGAGGACATTTTGAACACATACAAAATTAATAATTACTTCCAACTATTGCGTATTTTAGGTTATGTTTTTTACCATTTGCTTTAAAATAAATGTAAATGCTCAGTAAGTGTGTCACTGAATAAATCGATCCACAGTTGAAAGTGCGTTGGAACTTAGAAAGGTTCTTTGGATGTAGCTTAAGTGAAAAAGGTGTACCCTAATCTCTTTGGGGAGTTTTGACTCGGAGCTGAAATTTTAATATTTCTATTAAAATTCAAATACCATTAGTATATTTTCTCTGGAGTTCAGTAATTTTACACATTTCCAAGTTTCAGCTTACGTGAAATAAAATAAAATTGGTCAAATATCTATCCAAAAATGTCAACACATGCCATAATAGTTTATTGACATTAATTTATAAAAACGTTTTGTAATTATATTATTAAACTCATCACGCAACTGCAGAATTATCAACAAATAAAATATGTTGTTCCTGCGATCACAACAATTATACATAAATTGTGCATGGCGAGTCTTTATGTTTTTAGTCGTTGGTCAGAAGTAACAAATACTCTACTACAACTTATATAGACTTACGACCTACTTGATAATAAATTAATGCATTAATAGGTTTTGTTTTACTAGTTTAAGCACGGCCATAGAATACATACCCGTATAATGGTGTGATATTTTAATAATGACTTTTAGAGAAACCCTCGTGAAAAGACGTTTCCGAGTCGTCCATTCGTGTAAGCCAACCTTACGCAAGCTATCGGAGTCAATCCAACGATACGTTTGGGACTGACTTAATAATGGGATACTTGATTATATGATAATAATTATGAAAATCGAATTTTCGGCAGTAACTAGAATCCTACTCTCTAATGTTATCATCATCAATTATTTAAATGCAATGTACCGTTATGACTGATTTTCGTGTTACCTAGTATGATTACATTTCTACATTTAACGTTCAAAGCTATATTCGAACCCCTTCTAATCTAACTTCACGCATTAACACAAAAGTATTCAAAAATAATTCAAATGTCTTTATAGTTAACGAGACAAAATGTATTAGATTGTTATATCAATCTAAATGTAGAAGGATTACTTTACAAGTCTATGATTACAGAGTAATAATAGTAGTAACTTCAAAATTAGTCATAATTTTTGTCTTAATTGTCATTGTTTTTGTTTTTACAAAACAAACCTTATTATAACAAATACATACCACCATTTAGATCTGTATACAGAAGTATATATAATACATACAGTTATTAAATATTTACCTTTTATGGTATTTTTCAGAACTCTATAAACTTTTGAAACTAAAATGGTAATGTTTTATTCACTTATAAATTTAATACAAATGCTGATAATTTTAACAGGTCGATTGCCAGTTTTGGATAGTTACTTTTATAGTTATTAAGGTTAAAATATAGGCTGGGAGGGTAGGGTTGTGAGTGTGGTATTATTTTTATCTGCGATCATTACTCTATCGCATTTTACCGCCAATCCTAAATTTTTAACATTATTCACTTTCAAAGAAATTACCCAAAACTGGTTAACGACCAGTGGAAAAATTCAGCAAGTTATTCTTATTTTAAAAGTGTAATTAAATTTATACGTTACCATTTGAGTTATAAAAGTCGATAGATCTCTGGAAAAATGGAAATAAAAATAAAAGTTTAATATTATCCAATATAAAATAACGTAAACTAAAGTGTCTTCCAAAAGAAAAATTGCGATTATTTTAAAGAGAAAGTAAGTGTCTTGTCATAATGAATCACCCTATATATGTGTACATAATATATTCCGTTCAACAAGTACTATTAAGAAAAACATATTATTTTAATCCTATATGTACTATTTTTTTTATTTAAGGAGTAAAGTTTAAACGACCTTACAAACACTTTGTTTCGAGTGTTAATTATATGAAGCTATTTATGTTAAAATAAAATTGTTTTGTATTACATTATTTTAACAATAAATAAATTTAGTAATAATAAGTTGCACGATTATAAATTTCGATAAGGATCTTAAAAACCTTACAGTCGATATATTGAAGCCCCTAGATTTATCCAGCCAACGGTTAACTACTATATTATTAATAGCATCAAAGTGGAGAAAAAATAAGACGTGTTGTACATTTCAAAGTGATTGTCCTTAGCTTAGAGCACTGCATTATTGATAAAAACTCGGCATTCTTGTTATTGCTTATGCTTTTAGAAAAATGACAATGGATACTTTGAACACAATATATAATTCGTTGACTATTACATGGACATAACACGTATAGTATATAATGATTTATAATTTAATATGGTCGATAATAAATCCATACAACATAACAAGTATTTAAGAAAAAAACTTAAAACAGAGTTTTACACTTTCGTCAATTTTGTGTTAGATTTACTAAGATCAATTTGTAGTTTTACAGAAAAATGTTCTTTGTAGAAGAAACAAATTTAAAATACTATGAACTGTCTACGTTTTGTATTTTTGTCCATCAAATGTTTTAATGTACAAACTTCATTATTGTATTCCAGGAACGAGTGACTCTGATTGTACCTTGGATCGTTGGTCTTATCACTTTCATGGCACTCGAAGCGGTGGCCGTTGTTTACTCAAACGTACTCAGAGACCATGTAAACAAAGTGAGTTTATCTTCATTATGCCAACGGCATTGCGCATTATTTATACTATTACAGAGTTAAATGTAGAACAACAATACAGCTGTCTTGCTAAAAGTTAAATGCTTTATTTAACCAAGAGATGCTACTCTAGCATCTGTTGGTTAAATTTTCCCCTTATATATTGAATTGTGTTAAGTAACTCATAATACTAGTGGATTGTATATTAATGTACATTTTATTTTTATTTTTAGAGATTTGACTCGTTTTGTAAAATTGAAGTAACATTTTATCTGATACGAGCGGTGTTAAATGTAAGTATTATTTTTTTTATCTCAATTCGATTATAATATTGTATAGTTATGTGTAGAGTAGTTGCACATATGAAATATTTTATAAATAAATAACAATTACTCACTATCACATTAGTATTGATTGATTAATTGATTTCATTCACCATTCATGTACCTAGTTAAGCTACCCCTCATTTAGGTATAGATGTATCTATACTGATTCGCAGTATTCTACGAGTGTACGTAATTTTAACTTGATAAATGTACTCCATAAATCCTATTAGAGCTGAAACGCTATTAACGATAATTCCTACTGTATGGCATTTGGCAAAAGCAAAAATTCGTTATTCAGAATTTTGCGAATAGGCTTAACGTAATAAATTAAGTAATCTAATCTACGTATACATTAATAGATATTAAACCATCATTATACAGCTCCATCTATTAATAAAAAACATATTAAATAACTATTAAGTTTTGTTTTATTAGTTTTAATTTTTAGTTATAACTAAATTCGATGTACATTTCACCATTTTAAACAATTGTACTTGACTTCTTCACGAGAAAAAAAATACTAATCTGATTATCCACAACTCCCCTCGATGGTGATTGATTTTAACGCTAATAACTTGATTACCATCAAAAATACAAAAGCTATTGGTTGTACCCACAAATAAAAATTAAGAAATTTGTATTATTACTTGATGCGCCTACAGGATGTCTAAGCAAAGAGTACCTAGTTTTTAGAAATTGAGCGATTCAAATGATAACTGTCAGTAAGTTTATGGACACAAAAATCTCGAAGTCGACACATTTTATGGTAGAAAAAAATGTGTAACAACAACGAACCCGATTATCTGAACATATTTCAACTTTACCTAAAACGTTTAAAAAAAGTTAACAGTATTTAGGGAAAATTGATAATACATTTAAACAAAATATATATCATATATTATAAATATATATATATATATATAAACTTATGAACACAGAGTGTTGTTCAAAGATATTAAATTGAATACATATACCAATAACTATAATCTATGTATATGACATGTTTCCAAACACTGTTTTTCATATGACAATAGCAGATTTCTTTTATAGGAATTTGTTATAGTTAGTTTATAGATTTTAATAAAAAAGAGTGGTAACAAAGAGCTGTCAATGCTAAATAATAGAAATGTATAACTTATATTCTGCTGTGTTTTTAATAATGATTAATTTATTATTTTTATTTTTTAATAAAAATATTTTTTTATATTTCAACTTTGATTGAAACACAAAGAGCTCTTTAGACAATCGAAATTAAACCTTGGACATTTGTAATATTTACATAATATAATTTGAGATGTAACAGGTAACTGCACGCAAATGCTTTCAGATAGCTACACATCGTTTTACAATCTTACAACAATAAATATGAAATCGAAAATGGATAGAAATTATGGTTTATAAGGCACTAGAATGAATAAGATAGAGAACTTCTAATGTATTTATATACTAGTATCACAACGAGTTTTTAAACTAAAGATCAAATGAATAACCGCGACTTCTTAACTGGTTGATTGTGCATCCGACTATAATGTACAATCTGCGATTTTGTAGATTGTAATAAAGTTTATTCACTAAGTCCAATAACCATTTATTAACTTTAACTATATGTAAAAATAAGAATATATTTTTTTATTCAAAGAAAAACTTAACAATAAAAGAATACAAGGAAAATACATTGAACACTTGTAAAAACTTTGACCGGAACAAACAATAACTAAAACTTTTTTAATGGTTTTACAGTTTTTGCAGTTTTTGAATACCAAGTACCCGAATTCGTTGTATTACTTTTATGGTAATATATATTTTTTTAGTTTTAACATAGAATTTTTCAAATTTAAACGCGAGAACATCAACAAAAACCGATTGTAATGTGAAACCAGACGATATACCATTGTCTTAGCATTAGGTGGATATGAGTTTAGTAATATGTTTCTTATGTCTTTGTAAGTTTTGACAAAAACCCGGCCATCAAGACCAGTATATAACTGCTAGCTGGGATCGAAAATATTTGTAGGTAAGAAAAAAATTGAAACTTTCGAATAAATGAGATTGAGATAAATGTATATGTTTCTCTCGTGACGGCTGTTCGGGTAAATGGCCTGTAATTCCGAAAGGAGGTGCTTCGTGTATGTTAGGAGATAAAAAACGATAAATATCTCGGCTTTCGAATCTCGCGGGCCTGTTTGTGACGGAAAAAATCCATTTATCAAAACAATAACACATCCACCTTCGAGAGTACAGGTATACTGTTGCGGGTGATCGTGTTGTTATCAACAACTCTCGATTCAAAAATATTATACTTGAACGCCGAATATATCACACCATACACTTTAGTCAACACAAGAAATATTACAGAAAATCATGATGGTTCGAACAACTTCGAAAAAGCCAAACAGTAGTTAGGACTTATACAGTTTAAACGTTTCCAATATCTAAATTTTTCATTAGATTTAGGAATCGAAATGTGAGTTTTTTCACGATATAGGTAAACAAAGAATTGACAATTACGGTTTTTATTTAAGTTTTAAATAACAGCTGAAATCGTTTAATATAGGGTTATTATAATAGAACGTTCCATTCTGCCACGGAATAAACTTAATGAAATCCAAGAAATAATAAACAAAAAATTAGGAATCGGCAATAGAATAAAATATTGCTACGAGAAAGTAAATAATAAAATATACAACCTAGTGTTTTAGTATGAGAGAAAGAGTTTAAGAGATTGAGAAACGTAATTATAGACTAGCGTGTGAGTACCAACATTTGAATGTAAATAAGGATTTGAACTAAGTGGAGTGCCATATAAAGTGTGTGTACTGTTATCGGACAATGTAAACAATTGCTTGTGACTTATTAGTTGTTTTACCAGTTTTTTTTTAGTACAGTTAAGTGATAACAACATAAGCGTCTTCAGTTTATTTTACACGTTTTAACAAAAATAATACTAACAATGTTTTTTAATGTGCTTCACCACCCTTGCTATTTTTAAAGCAACAATTATTGAGAAAGACTACCTATTGACGTCTTACCCGAGTCATTTATTTTCATTATTGTCTATTCATTATCTATATTGATTGAATAACGATTATCATCGTCTACGGTTTCATACAGGATGTCTCACGCTATTTCAACAATGCTGCGCACAAATTATTTATGGCCATTTTGCAAAATCCCGTATTATTAGCGTTTTGTTCGGCACTATAATAATAATTGCTCCACCGTTTTTATATTTTAATTACTTAATTAATTACGCCCGTTGACGGACTAATAAAAGCGTACGGACAGGCGACGACAAAGAGACACCCCGTCGATATTTTCTTAGGCGATCGGTGTGAATGATAAGATTATGTCGACTTTTTAGTTTTTCTCGCACCGAAAAACGATCAACGGCGCAGGTGAGGTGGTGGCGCAGTCGTTAGTGGAACAATAAGTAACCAGCCGGCAATTACGGCTCGGCATTACCGGAATAAAAATAATGAAACCCAGTACAGTGGGGTTGGGGCATAATGAGGAACGAAGGATATTGGGTCGAGGGAGGTCAAAAGTCTGTAGGAATAATTATTATAACAGCTGAAAGTGATTAAATCACTTCTAAAATGTAAACACTTCGATGCTAACAACATAATATGTCATTGTAATGACAATTGCGTAGTTGAGAATTATGTACAATTAGTATTACTAATTAGGGTGGATACGATTAGGTTTGATCGTCTGTCTATAATGACTTGTTGCCGTTGTCAACCATGTGTCGCAATTAAAAAAAGTAATGAAAATATTAATAATAAAGCTACACCGAAAAAAAACGAAATAAATACAAAGTGTCTACCCTTTTCTCCAAAAAGGGTTTTTGACATTTTTTCGGTGAGTTGACGTTTATCGGTAGTATTCACAATGTAAAAAAAATGTCTAACGCGAGTTTGGAAGTAATCAGACTACTTATTAAAAAACTAATACCGCCGTAATTTTAAGTTGTAAAATATGTTAATGTTTTTTTCGTTTTTGAAGGGGAAAGGGTGAACTTTTAAATTTTTGCCCCGACAACCTTTCAGATACGATTTCTGATCTATTGTACCGCTGGATTAAGTAATCGATAAAAAAAAATAGTAATAATAAAAACACATCAATCTTAGCTGTGCATCGAAGCTGAAATAACGTTATTATTATTAATAGTAACACTTTAACAGTTTTGTATGGTGATATTTTACGGGCGGCCGAGGTTTCGGATTTTGGCATGACGATGAATGACAACGTATCGTTCTTTAAAAGACAACAGACGCCCCGTGCTGGCTTTAACGGGTTAAGTCGTTGTGATAATTATTTCTGTACGGTTAAGCGACTCACAAGACCGGCACGCCCGCAACAGATTTGAAAATTATTAATCGGGTTGCCGCGTGTGCTCGGCCGAAATCGAATGAAACAACATTAAAGCGACCCTTTTCTATTTTCCACCCTCGGCACGCTGAACAAATCGCCCGTAAAACCTCTATAGAGGCCGTTTTCATATTGTACACACTCGTCGTGGAGAAACAAGGAAAGATGCGAAAAAAGCAATTTAACAATGATACGTCGCCGCCGCCGCCGCCGTTATTTTATTTTACTGTTGTTGGCGCTTTGCCGTCGTTGTCTTTGCCATCGCCCTATAGGTACGTTATTATATTACACATACATTAGGTATAGAGGTGGCTATAAATATTATTGTTTGCAGCGAATTTCGTGAATTCACCGTCGTTGGCTACAATATTCTGCGTGCAACTGGATGTAATAACGGTATTATTCAAACTTTTGACGTTCACCGCAAACCATGGTCGTAAACGTTTATACTAGTTCACTTATATTATTTAGCCAACTGCCGTTATTTTACCGACTGTTAATTCAAGAAAATTCAATACTTTGAAAATAAAAATTCCTGCACTAGGAGTGGACGATTAATATTATTATGTACGACGTTTAGCCAAAACGGTTAAAAC